CCACAGTGATAGGAGAAGGAATGTAGTTTCTCATCATGGTGTATGCTTCTAACTGTAGGTTTCTCTATTCCTAGATGATTGAAAGTTTATCATGAATGGGTGTTGGATTATGTGAAATGCTTTTCTGTATCGATTGTTATAATCATATGATTTTTCTTCTTACACTTCAGTTCAGTCATTCAGTCATGTCCGACTCTTTGCGACCCCATGAACCACAGCATGCCAGGCCTCACCATCACCAACTGCCAGAGTCTACCCAAACCCATGTCCATTGAGTCAGTGATGCCATCCAACCATCTCATCCTCTGTCATCCCCTTCTCCTCCTACCCTCAGTCTTTCCCAGCATCAGGGTCTTTTCCAATGAGTCAGCTCTTAGCATCAGGTGGCCAAAGTACTGGAGTTTCAGCTCAAACATCAGTCCTTCTAATGAATACCCAGGACTGATCTCATTTAGGATGGACTGGTTGGATCTCCTTGCAGTCCAAGGGACTCTCAAGAGTCTTCTCCAACACCACAGTTCAAAAACATCAATTCTTTGGCACTCAGCTTTCTTTATAGTCCAACTCTCACATCCATACATGACTAGGTTCTTCTTCTTTAGCTATTAATATGATAGATTATAGCAAATGAATTTTGAATGCTGAATGAGAGTTGCATATTTGGGATAAATCCTATTTGATCATGGTGCATATTTTTTATATATAATACTGGATTCAACTGCTAGATATTTTGTCTACTTTTGATATCAGGCTAATGCTAGTATCATAGAATGAGTTTGGAAGTGTTCCCTATGATTCTATTTTGTGGATCAGTTAGTATGGAGTTAGTATCACTGTGACACTTTAAAGAAGGTCACTGCATATATAATTAATTATGCAAAGATAAGGTCATTAGTGTGGGCCCTAATCCTATATAACATCTTTCCAACCCAGGGATCAAATCCAGGTCTCCTTCATTGCAGGTGGATTCTTTACCAGCTAAGCCGCCAGAGAAGTACAGATAATTAATTTAGTCACTAAGTTGCACCCAACTCTTACGACCCCATGGACTGTAGCACGCCAGGCTCTTCTCTCCATGGGATTTACCAGGCAAGAATACTGGAGTGGGTGCCATTTCCTTCTCCAGGGCATATTCCCCAGCCAGGGAATGAACCTAGGTCTCCTGCATTGCAGGCAAATTCTTTACCAACTGAGTCACCAGGGAAGCCCAATCCTATATAACTGGTTTTCTTAAACTAGCACACCTAGTTTCCTCAAATATTAAACCCTTAATATAAAGGATGCAGTGCCATTATATGGGTTTAAACCCACAACACAGATATTCAAAAAAGGGTAGGCAATATTTTTTATCACACAGGAAGTAACATTGGAGGTATTTCATTTCCTTGAATCTTGCTTCTTTCTCCATTCTGTCAGACAAGTTGCTAAATTATTGGCAAGAACTGGGAGATTGGTTTTGATACATACATACATATATATATACATATATACACATATATATATATACTATTTCATACTATGTATAAAATAGACAACTAACAAGAGTCTACTGTATAGCAATAAAACTACTCAATGCTCTATCTTGACCTAAATGAGAAGGATATCCAAAAAAGAGAGGATATATGTATACATATAGCTGATTTACTCTGCTGGACAGCAGGAACTAACACAGCATTGTAAAGCAACTATATTCTAATAAAAAGTTTTTTTAAAAAAAGAAAAGAAAATTGTTGGCAGAGGAGGGAAGCATGGGAGATAAAGGGGTGTCAATTACTGGTTTTTGAGTTTTGAAAGTCTAAGACCCTCTGGGAAATTAGAATGACTCTCACACATTGAAAATAGACTTAAAAGAAATCCTCCTATTTACTGAGCTAAAATCATATTTAGATACTTTTGAGTGGAAGATGTGGCTGACTTTATTTTTCTGGGCTTCAAAATCACTGCAGATGGTGACTGCAGCCATGAAATTAAAAGATGCTTACTCCTTGGAAGGAAAGTTATGACCATCCTAGACAGCATATTAAAAACAGAGACTACTTTGTCAACAAAGGTCCGTCTAGTCAAGGCTATGGTTTTTCCAGTAGTCATATATGGATGAGAGGTGGACTATAAAGAAACCTGAGTGCTGAAGAATTGATGTTTTTGAACTGTGGTGTTAGAGAAGACTCTTGAGAGTCCCTTGGACTGCAAGGAGATCCAGCCAGTCCATCCTAAAGGAGATCAGTCCTGGGTGTTCATTGGAAGGACTGATGTTAAAGCTGACACTCCAGTACTTTGGCCACCTGATGCTAAGAGCTGACTCATTGGAAAAGACCCTGATGCTGGGAAAGACTGAGGGTAGGAGGAGAAGGGGATGACAGAGGATGAGACGGTTGGATGGCATCACCAACTCAATGGACATGGGTTTGGGTAGACTCCGGGAGTTGGTGATGGACAGGGAAGCCTGGTGTGCTGCGGTTCATGGGGTCACAAAGAGTCAGACATGACTGAGCGACTGAACTGAACTGAACTGAACTGAGTGGAAGATAAGGTAGTCAAGCCATGTACAGATATTAGTGAATCCAGAAGCAAGTTGGCAATGGGGTGGCTAAACCTTTACCCCTCCCTCAGCCACTCTCACTCTTCCTGCTGTGGCTTAGTCGCTTCAGTTGTGTCTGATTCTGTGAGACCATACGGACGGCAGACCCCTAGTCTCCTCTGTCCATGGGATTCTCTAGGCAAGAGTACTAGAGTGGGTTGGCATGTCCTCCTGCAGGGGATCTTCCTGACCCAGTGATCGAACCTGGGTCTCCTGCATTGCAGGCAGAGTCTTTACCACTGAGCCACCAGGGAAGCCCCTAACTCTTCCTAGTGGAGCTGAAATGATCAGATGTTAAACTAGCAGATTCAACTAAGGCACCTTCATTGAACAGGAATGAAATTCCAAGGAAAGGGCTAGACCAAAACCAAATTTTTTTTACAAGTCCTAAGAATTGGCTGCATACATGTTTAGTCGCTTCAGTCATGTCCAACTCTTTGCAACCCTATGGACTGTAGCCTGCTAGGCTTCTCTGTTCATGGGATTTCCCAGGTAAGAACACTGAAATGGGTTGCCATGCCCTCCTCCAGGGGATCTTCTGAGTCTCTTTTGTCTCCTGCATTGGCAGGCAAGTTCTTTAACACTGGGAAGAACAGGTTGAATGGCTCTAAAATGCAACAAGACAACACAAAGGATCAAAAGAACAGAGGTGACGAGAAGCATTATGAAATGGTTCTTGGATTGAACTGCTGCCCTGTGACAAGCCCCACCTCACTGAAGCAGGTGGGACAGAAGGGGCTATTTTCTCTCTCAGGTCCTTAGAGAGGCCTCAAAAGAACAGTTTAGATAGTGTGAATGTGTCCCCTGGAGCTTAGGAAACCTGACAGATTGCAGATTGGCTCCCACCTTGGGAATCTGGAGGACAAGAAGGAGATAAGGAACAGCTCAGTAATTTGAGAAGTACCCTTCAGTCCTCGGAGGTTCACGAGATGCGTGTTTTCATGAAGCAGGTGTGGGCCACGGGTGACAGAGCTAGCCTGAAGCCCAAGATGGCCGCTTGGGAGTATTCTTTATACACTCAACATGAGTTCATGTGGGATGGACTAGCCGAGAACCAGGAGGTGAGTAGGGAGTGGACAGCTACAGGAGAAGCCCTGTCCAAGCCAGGAGAGTTGAAGACAAATGGGCCCGGCAGGGGAGCCACCTAAGTCCCCCCAAAGTGGCCAAATGATTCTCAGTTTTAAATATCTGCCAGGCCCTGAAAGCTGGAGCCAGGTTAACCCAGTACCTGTTCACATAAAAAACATCCCTAAGTCACTCATTTCCTTTTCTTTCCCTCGTTTCAATCCCTTAGGATTTAGCAATAGCAGCCAGCAAATGGGGGAGTAGGTGACAGATAGAGAAAGAAAACAGCACACCCTCTCCCTCTGCAAGAGCCCAATCCAAATATGGGCCTCAGAGAGGGGATGAGAGATGATTTGATATTAAATGAACTTGCAAACTACTATTATAGTTGAGATTGACCATTTTAATTTTTGAATGTAGACAGTGTTTGTGATTTAAAGTGTAGATAGAAATTTTTTAAATCTAAGAGTAATCTTACTAGGTATGGAGCCTACTTGAGGCCTAAATTTCATCCAGAGCCAAGAGAATACCCACTTCCCTTTTCCCAGTGCATTTTAAAGAAACAACAGGAAAAAAAAAATGTAAACTGTGTTTTGATTGATTTCCTAAGTTGTGCTGTTCAAAATACTGTAACAGGGTTGTTCATTCGCTCAAAGTCATGACCAACTCTTTGCAACTGCATGGACTGCAGCACACCAGCCTTCCCTGCCCTTCACTATCTCTTAGAGTTTGCTCAAACTCATATCCATTGAGTCAATGATGCCATTCAACTATCTCATACTCTGTCGTCCACCTTCTCCTCTTGCCCTCTATGTTTGCTAAACATGATGGTAGAAAATAATGGCAGATGGAATGGATTTTCTTTCTTGGATGAGGTCTGGACCTTTGAAATGACCAAGTGATATATTGCAGGTGGACCTGACCAGGTCTGCCAAGGACTGCCTGGACTAGCATGACACAGGAGCAACAGAACAAGGCCCCAGGGCTTCACAGCGTCATGCAAGGAGCATAGAGCTCTAAGCCACCCCAGAGACTTTCTTCTGGTTCAGCAGCAGCACACCCTCACGTGTCCAGGGAGTATCTGGAAGAAGCCAAAAGAAGGAAAGGAAAAGATCTTCAAAGGAAGATCAAGGTGTGCCTCAGCAGTGGCTCATGAGTACTGACGAAGGATACGAGGACAAACATGACTCGTGGAGAGATGACAGCCTAGGAGCAGATATGTCACCCCTCACCTTCAAAGTCTTACCTAGAATTAGGATGCAACCTCAAATTGCTTCCACGTGCTTACACGAAAGATCTAACTGCAGAAAATAAAACAAGTTACATTCCTTGCACATTCAGTTGTGTAGACACATACCTGCCACGTGTGGGGAAGCTTGTCCAAGACTTCTAAGGATCCTCTTGAAGTGTGCCTTTACACCGTGGATGATTAAGAAGCCTAGAAGAGAATCAGAGCTAAGTCACTTAGAGGCAGTTTCATGGAGTAAGGAGGTTGACTGTTAAATTCTGGCTGGGAAATGCCAGTGGATGGTGTTCGACTGAGCCTGACAGACTACATGACATCCACTACCACAGAACTCTTAAATTCCATCTAGAACATTATAGAACCATCAGCAGAAGGGAAAAAAATAGAATGAACCGGCTTGTTTGGTCTGTTTTTGAAAATCAAATGTTCCAAATCCCAGAAGAAAACATAGGAAAGAGGAGGTAAAATGGGGAACTTGAGGTTCCTATCCAAAAAACTCTGGAAGATTTAAAAGTATCAAGTCCATTTCTAAAGAGAAAGTGAAAGTAGCTCAGTTGTGTCTGACTCTGAGACTCCATGAACTGTAGCCTGCCAGACTCCTCTGTCCATGGAATTCTCCAAGCCGGAATACTGCAGTGGGTAGCCATTCCCTTCTCCAGGGGATCTTCCCAACCCAGGGATCAAGCCCAGGTTTCCTGCATTGCAGGCAAATTCTTGACCATCTGAGCCACCAGGTAAGCCAAAGAATACTGGAGTGGGTAGCCTATCCCTTCTCCAGGGGATCTTCCCAAGCCGGGACTCAAACTGGGGTCTCCTGCATTGCAGGTGGATTCTTTACTAGCTAAGCGACCAGGGAAGCCCATTTCTAATGAGAGAAGAAACATAAATCCAAGGAAGGGAATAGATTGTGGTAGGGGGTCCTATTTTAGAGACAGTGTTCAAGGGAAAAGTCGCTCTGCTAAGGCAACATTTGCGCAGAGACCAGGACAAAGTGAGCAACTGGACAGAGGCTGTGCTTTGCAGGCTGTGGGGACAGCTAGAGCAAAGGCCCTGTGGTAAAAGACCAGGAACAGCAAAAGGCCACTGCGCCTGCAGTGGGATATGTCCAGGAAAGACAAGCAGGACATGAAGGAAGAAGGAAAGGGCCAAGGAGAGGCTTTGAATTTTAACCTGGAAGCCATTAGAAGGCTGTCTTTTTCTTTAATCAAATATTATAATGTGACACCACTGCATATTTGCATGCATTTCTCAGAAATAATACAGAGAAATCCCCTATATCTTCTACCCTGTTTCCCTCAAGGGTAACATCTTGCAAAGCTATAGTCCAATACCAAAACCAAGATGTTGACATCGATAGAGCTAAGATACAGAATATTTCCACCACCAACCAGAAGAGTCCCTAAGATTGTCTTTTTATAGCCCTCCTATCCCACCTCCTTCTTAAACCCTGGAAACCACTAGTGTACAATGTCTATAGTGTTGTCATTTCAAAATTATTATACAAATGCAATCATACACAAATCTCTGGTGATTTATCCAGGTTGGGTATCAATACTTTGTCTAGTTATATTGCTCAATAGTTCTATGAGCAATTCATAGCAATTCATAGTTCATTTAACCATTCACCCACCGAAAGGCACTAGAGTATTACACTATTTCTAGTTTGGTATTATATAAGCAAAGCTACTATAAACACTGGCACACAGGCTTTTGTGTGAGTAGAAGTTTTCCTCTCTCTGAAATAAATGCCCACAAGAGCAATTGCTGGATTTTATCGTCATTTTAAGTTAAATTTTCTTTAAAAACCTGTCAAACTGTTCTGTAAAACATTCTACACCATTTTACATTCCATCAGCCATGCATGAATGAGCTAGTTTCTGCAATCCTTGCCAGCATTTGGCATTGTCATTATTTCTTATTTTAGCCATTCTGCTTTTCTCTAATGATTAATGATGTTGAACATCTTTTCATGTGCTTAGATGTTAGCTGTATATATCCTTTCCCATGAAATGTTCCTTCATGTCTTTGGTCTATTTTCTGATTGGATTGTTTCATTTTTTTATTGAAGTGTTTTGAAAGATTATATTCTTAATACTAATCCTTACTACAAGTCTAAATATATAGTCTGAAACTACTTTCTCACAGACTATAGCTTATCATAATCTTAACAGGGTATTTCACAGAGCCCAGTTTTCTGATTGGATTGTTTCATTTCTTTTTATTGGTTTTAAAAGATTATATTCTTAATACTAATCCTTACTACAAGTCTAAATATATAGTCTGAAGCCACTTTCTCCCAGCCTGTAGCTTATCATATTACTAACAGGGTATTTCACAGAGCCCAAAGTTTTTAATTTTGTTAAGTTGAATTTATCAATTTTTCATTTTATGAATCATGGTTTTGATATAAAGTCTAAAAATGCTCTGTCTTGCCCTGGATCCTGAAGATATTCCAATTTTTTTCATAAAAATTCTATTTTTAAATTTTATCAATACATTTAAGTTCTTGATATATTTTGAGTTAATTTTTGTATAAGTCTAAGATAGGTGAAGTTTCATTTTTTGCTTATGGATGCTCAAGAGCTTCAATACCATTTGTTGAGAAGGCTAGGTTTCCTCCACTGAACTGGTTTTGCACCTTGGTCAAAAATCAGTTTATATTTGTATGGGCCAATTTCTGGGTTCTCTGTTCTATTTCATTGTTATACACATGTCTCCCTCTGCCAAACTCACATAGTCTTGATTACTATAGCTGTATAATAAATCCTGAAATCGAGTAGATTACTTCTTCCCACTCTATTTATCTATTTAAAAATTCTTATAACTACTCTGATTTCTTTGCCTTTCCAAAAAATTTTTATAAAAATCTGATCTACAAAAAAAATTGTGCCAAAATATTGATACAAACTGTGTTAAACCTGTACATCAGTTCGAAGAGAATTGATATATTTGTTATGGTGAGTCTTCTAATCCATTAACATGGTATATACCTATTTATTTATATTTCAATCAGTACTGTATGGCTTTTAGCATATAGTCCTACACATGTTTTGCTAGATTTATAACTAAGTGCTTAAATTTTTGAGTGATTATAAATGGTATTGTATTTTTAATGTTGGTGTCCAGTTGTTCATTGTTATTATACAGGAATACAGTTGATTTTTGTATGCTTATCTCATATCCTACTACCTTACTGAACTCACCTATTAGTTTTGAAAGGCTTTTTTTTTTTTTAAGTCCCCTAGGGTTTTCTAGATAAACAATCATGTCACCTGAAAATAGGGACAATTTTATTTCTGATTCCATTTTGATCTCTATGATTTTAATTTCCTTCCCTTATCTTTTTGTACTGGCTGGAAGTTCTAGCAATGTATCAAGTAAAATTGGTGAGTGCAAACATTCTTGACCTTGTTCCTTATCTGAGGAGAAACAATTCAGTCTTTCATCATTAAGGGTAATGTTGGTTATAGAATTTATGCAGTCTTTTTCAGATGCTTGATATCAAGTTGAAGCTCTCTGTTCTCATTTTTCTGAGAATTTTTATCATAAATGGTTGATTTTGTCAAATGCTTTTTTCTGCATGAATGGATAGGATCATATGGTGTTTCTTCTTTAGCCTGTTAACAAGGTGAATTGCAAGTACTGAACCAACCTTAATTCCTGGAATAAATCCTACTCAGTCATGAAATGTATATATTGCTGAATTCTATTTGTTACATATACTGCTGAATTCTATTTGTTAATATTTTATTAAGGATCCTTATGTCCATGTTCATGAAGAATATTTATCTCTAGTTTTCTTTTCTGTTCTATCTTTATCAGGTTTTGGTATCTCGGTAATACCACTTTCCTAAAATAAATGGTTTTTTGGAAGCCATTGTATAGAACTGATGCTACTTCTTTCAGTGTTTGTTAGGATTCTCTAGTGAAACCATCTGGGAGTGGATTTTTTTATTGTTAAAATTATTTGTTCAATCTCCTTAATAGTTTTAGAGCTATTCAAACTATCTATTTAATATTGAGTGAGTTGTAGTAGTTTCTGTCATTTGAGGAGTTGGTCCATTTCTTCTAAGTTGTCAAATTTATATGTATAGAACTGTTCCTAGTATATGCATATTATCCCTTTGATGTCTGCAGTCTATAGTGATACACTTTATTTCATTCTTCACATTGGTGATTTGTGTCTTATCTGTTTTTTTCTTTGTCAGTCTTGTGAGATGTTTGTCAACGTTATCAGTCTTTTCAAATAACCGGAATTTTTTCATTGTTTTTCTGTTTTCGATTTTATTAATTTTTGTCCTTATTATGATTTCTTTCATTCTGCTTGCTTTGGACTTCAGGTATATTCAGCTCTTCTTTTTCTAGGTTATTGAAGTGTGAGTTTAGATTATTGATTAGAAACTTTTCCTTTTTTCTAATGTATACATTTAATGCTATCTAACATGCCTCTTAGCACTTCTTTACCTGTGACCCACAAATTTTAACGGTGTATTTTTATTTTCAATCCATTCAATGTATTATGTTCCTTGAGACTTCCTTTGTGGCCCATGGATTATTTATAATGTGTGTAGTTGAATTTCCAAGTGTTCAGATTTTTACATGTTATTTTTCTATTACTAATTTCTAATTTGATTCCATGGTAGTCAAAGAATGCATTCTTTAAGATTTTAATTCTTTAAAAATTTTTGAGACTTGTTTTCTGATCCATGATATGGTCAAATATATTACATGTTTCATGGTCACATTAAGAGAATGTGTGTCCTGTTCCTGTGGGGTAGAGTGCTCAGTGAGTACCTATTAAGTCAGTTGTTCACTGAAGCTGAGTTTTTTATCTTTGCTGATTTTCTGTCTAGTTTTCTATCCATTGATGAGATGGGGTATTAAAATCTTCAATTATATTTATAAATCTATTTCTTTTAAAAAATATGTCATTTTTTTGCAACTCAGTAATTTAGGGCACACATCTTTAGGATGACTGAGTCTTACTGATGGTGCAACTCTTCCGTCAACATATAATATCCCCCCTCTATCACAAGTGTCTACTGTATCTGATAATATAGCAACTCCTGCTTACTATTATTAATGTTTGCAAGATACTTTTTACCAATTCTTTACTTTCAACTTGCCAATATCACTATATTTAAAGAGATTCATGAAGATACAGCACTGTAGTTGGGTGCTATTTTTTAATA